CTTTCTTTTTCCTGGAATTCTGTGAACTTTTTGTTCGGGATGCCTGAAAACCCAAATGACCAAATTTATTTCTGAGCAGGGGGTGGTAGTGGCAACCGGTATCTTTCTAGCACTTTACTGAGGCTATTTGGGCCCCTTATAGGCTACTTCCAGTTTCAACTTGAAAGTGGTTGTGTCATATTTTAGTCCTCTATTATGTTATTCCATAGTTACCGTGATTTGTTAAAGGAAAAACCAGTTCTAAAACCCCTTCTTCTCGTGTACGTGTACGCATGTTTGCTGAATTCGGTGGGTCGGTTGCTCAAGAATGTGCGAAGTTAGTTTTCTCATATCCTTGCGCTATTCAACTGTTTGCTCTAAATTATTTTTTTCGCATACGCATTTTCTGCTATCCTGGTAATTGTGTCCTCCGTCCGTCCTAATACTGGATAGGTATGCCACAGCTAATTTCAAAACGTGCTTCACGCTGATAGGGTCCTGCTTTGATGAAAGCCGCTATGTTTCAATTCGGTTCTTGAAAGATGTTTTGACAAGACTAACGTCTTCCTCCTGCTTCACCAGGTGTTGGCTCGGTGCTAGAGACACCGAAGATGACCAACCCATTGATTTATCGGTGCCTCCAAGTCGCAATCCTCACACCACCGGCATGTGGCTGATATTGAAGGTCCTGAAAATAATTGAATTAGATTTAAAAAATGCGATTAATGTCAACTTACCAGCAAAAGTCTAGCTTGCTTCATCATGGGGGCGGTGGGATCTCCAGCCTTTCGTTTGGAGGCTCTCTTGGAGCTGGGTGTTTTGATGGTGTTGGATAGCCCCCTCTGCTTTAAAAATCCCACCACACTGGTTACAGATCTTGGAAGATGATTAGCAATCCCATGACGTTTCAGGTTATCTCCTTCCTGGTGAACGATTTTGTACATAAAATTAAAAATTCGCTGTTTATGGAGGTTTGTTTTAAGATAAATGAAAAAATAAAACCAGTTTAAATTGGTTAAAGAACCTACCTAAATTTTAGAAAAAGAAATTTGAGTTTTGTGCAAATGTAAGTGTAAAAGTAAATTCAAGTTGCTCCGAAAAAAACTATTGGAATTAAATTAAAAAATAGGTACTCAGGGTTGTCTGTATTTTTAAAAAACAAACAATATGTTTATGTGTTAAGGAAAATAAAAATAATTCAATAATCGAGGTTTGTGTTAATTTAAAATATGTCTCGGGGCATGATTTATCCTACATCACTTAGATATTTAAAAATAGTACTTACAGTTTTTCGAAACCGACACTTATCGCACAAGAAACTAAACTTTGAAAATCCAGGTTCAAAGTACTGGTACTGGATGCTGCGTTTTTTGTACAAAGAATAAAAATTGAATCCTCATCTTTTACAGGTAACAATGTATCCACTTAAATTTTGTATTGCATAGGGTTATTGGCTCATAAAATGTCAACGATGCTAATTTAAATCTATTCTTTTAAATTTTGATAAATCGATTGAATTTGTCACCTTTTTTAAAATAAAAATGGACATATCAAATATCTACCTAACTTAATAATTACGCCTTAAACTAAAAAATTATCTTTAAAATGTGTTGTTGTTTTTCTCGGGCGATTTCTGTGAACGGTCCTGATATAATTCAGATAAAAAAACTGCCGAATAAGCGTTTACATTTGACGGTGCTTTTGTATGTGATATCAAAGTTTAAATCGGATTTTATAATAACAAGCTTCTTTCAGTTTGCTCAAACTGGTCACCAGTGAAAAATATAAAATTATTGCACAACAATTATCATTTTAACCAAGTAAGTAAATATCTTATATACTAATATCAATCAACAACAAGACCTGTTTTTTTATAGCAAAGGATTAAAAACACTGAGAAAATTACAAGACCTGAAGCCTGATATAGAGTGAAATTCCCAATATTTTGGCAGCGTTTTTTGTATGTGATTACTTCAAAGTTTAAATCGGATTTTATAATAATTAAGCTCTTTTAGTCTTGTTTGAAACTCGGTGAACTATAAAATTATTGCACAACAATTATCATTTTAACCAAGTAAGTGAATATCTTATATACCTACTAATATCGATACAATTATGAATATTTTAGATATGGATTTGAAATCAATCAACAAGACCTGTCTTTTTATAACAAAGGATCAAAAACGCTGAGAAAATTATAAGTCCTCGTATAAAGTGAAAGTTCCCAATATTTTCTACGATACAGACCTCAAAATAATTGCAAATCTTTACTGGAACCAATAAACTATACAAATTAAGGTAGATCAACAGATGTCAAGCGAAGTTCGAATTAAAAGGGGTGCCCACAGTGTTGTATTCTTTCTCGTCATTATAAAACTATTGCACAGCAATTATTATTTTACCCAAGTAAGTAAATATCTTATATACTTAGGTAATCGATACAATTGTGGCATATTTTTAGCTATGGATTTGAAATACTCGTTGAATTTGACGACAACGCATAGTGTTTCTCCCAAGACGTACCACCAAAATGATTAGATCATTAAGCAGTTTATTGATGGAAAATATTCGCTTTTTGAAATCGTTGTCTTAAAAAATGTATGTTTTTAATAAAAAAACGAGGCCCCTTTCCCATCAAACGTTGGTTCCAACCAAGGATAATACACACTACTACTACAGGATAGCCTATCCTCATAAGGCCTGTGTGGAACAAATCCACTCTCTCCCCAACGTTAAATCACCAGTTGTGACGTAAGCAGCATGTTATTTCTCGCCTTGACGTAGGTTGTTTAAACAGCTGATGGCTTAGTTATGGCGTCGTAAATGGTAACACACGAGGTCAATAAGCAATCCTGTAGGTGTGTATCATCCTTGAGCTCGAACACCCTCTACCAGGTACAACATGAAGCTAGCTGCTGGACCCTCATAGTTACGTCTCCACCACAGCATCCTGTTATAAGACACATCGAACTTGACACATGTACGCTAGATGGTGCCACGGACGTGACCCAAGTCGCTATGACGTCATCACAGAACCCGAACCATGAATCGAACTTTGCACTATGTACTCTAAATGGCGCCACGGACCCGCACTGACGTAACCCACGTGACCCAGGTCGCTATGACGTCATCACAGAACCATGAAACGAACTTCGCACTATGTACTCTAAATGGCGCCACGAACGTGACCCAGGTCGCTATGACGTCATCACAGAACCTGAACCCTGAATCAAACTTTGCACTATGTACTCTAAATGACTCCACGGACGTGACCCAGGTCGCTATGACGTCATCACAGAACCCGAATCCTGAATCAAACTTTGCACTATGTACTCTAAATGACTCCACGGACGTGACCCAGGTCGCTATGACGTCATCACAGAACCCGGAACGACTCAAAACTCCCGCTATGACGTCATGACGTTTGACAGGTGACGTTTGACAGGTGACGTTTGACAGATGACGTTTGACAGGTGACGGTTGACAAAATGGCGGGAAAACATTTCCCCCCACCCCTTTTTCTGGTACCCATATTAAAATCCGGGGGCCCCTTTTTGGGGGGCGCAGCCCTGCGGGCCCCCTTTTTGGGGGGCGGAGCCCTGCGGGAGCAGGTCCCATGGCGCCATCTGTCAACAAGATGGGGCCATGGCGGCGCATCCACCTTCGTGTCAACGACGGCGCATCCACCACGTGTCAAGAATGAAAGATTGAGGTTATGGTCGGATTTTTGTAGTCATACCCCTGTTGCTGTACTACTCAAGCTTAGTCTGATTATACAGATTCCTGTGAGTCAAAAGGTGTATGATAACCAAATGTAGGAAAATTATTATACAACGGAACAAGAGTCGGAAATACTCAAAATCAGAACCATAATCATCCCACATCAAGTAAGACAATCAAGAGCCGGTAATAATCAAAATTTGAGCTATTATTACTAGCTCATGATTGCCTCCAAGCAAATTGGCCAGCAAGTCAAAAGGTGTGTAATAACCAAGGCTCCTAAATGTAATAGGTTGTCTGGTAATGGCATACACATGACGTCATCAGGGGGTCTCATGGAGATTTGCATAATGCTTAGGCATGCAGATGACTTCATAAAAGTTATCAGACAACCTACCCCTTTTAAAAAACCTTGTGTGAACCAAATTTAGCATGATTATATAACGAATCAAAATCCGGGAATAATCTAAATCTGAACCATATTTAACTATTGATTTACCTCATACCAAGTGAGGTAATCAAGAGTCGGTAATAATCAAAACTTGAACTATTACAGGCTCATGATTGCCTCTAGGAAAATTGACCAGCAAGTTAAAAGGCGTGGATAACCAAATTTAAGAAAATTATAAAACGTATCAAGAGCCGGGAATAATCAAAATCCGAACCATATTCAACTATTAATTCACCTCACATCAAGTAAAACAATCAAGAGTCGGTAATAATCAAAATTTGAGCTACTGCAAGCTCATGATTGCCTTCAGGAAAATTGAACAGCGAGTCAAATGGTGTGCGATAACGATAACCAGATGCAGGAAAATTATACAACGAATCAAGAGTCGGGAATAATAAAAATCTGAACCCTAATCAACTTCTGATTCGCCTTGCATCAAGTAAGACAATCAAGAGCCGGTAATGATCAATATTTAAATTATTATATTATATTGGTCACCGAGTTAAAAGGCGTGTGATAAGTGTGATAACCAAATTCAGGAAAATTAAGTATACAACAAATCAAGAGCCGGGAATAATCAGAATCTGAACTATAATTGACTCTGTACCACCGTTTAAACGAATCAGGAGCTGCTAATGATCAAAACTTAGGCTTTAGACTATTATCGGCTCTTGATTCAATAACAGAGTCTAACTGATCTAGATTTTTTTCTGTAAAAATTGTCCAACGAATCAGGACTATTGAATTAAAGTCAGACAATCAAAATAGGCTTAATTTGATATTTTGCTTGCCTTTAGTTAAATAGATCAACGAATCAAGAGCTTTGAAAGTATACTTTATTCCTTTTCAGGCTGATTACTACAAAGACGCTGCCCATTTCCACAGAATCGCCAACGGGCCCGAATATCGTCTGGAAATTCCGAATGTTAAGCTTGATTTCACCGGAACTTATACCGTTTACGCTAAAAACACTCATGGAGATGCCAAGTCCATAATTTCTTTGCAAATCAAAGTCAAAGGTAAGAAACCAAAAAAATCAAAAAACCATTAATATTCAAATATATTTTTAGATCTATCCAACATGGACCAAAATCAAAACAAAATAAGTGACGTCCAAAAATTACCAAGAATCGTCGAAGACCTCAAAGATCTAAGATGTTGCGATGGTGATTCGGTTACCCTAGAATGCAGTTTTGCCAGAAACAAACCTCCATTAGATATTAGATGGGAAAAAGATGGAAAAGTTAGTATAATTTGAATTTACATAAACCTATTATATATGAAAATATTTGCTTTAGATTGTTCGATTGGGAGACGACTTCACTTCCAACTTCGACGGAGAAACAGCAAAATTGACTATATCCGAAGCCTATCCAGAAGACGAAGGCGAATATTCCTGTATCGCTTTCAACGATTTGGGCAAAGCTGTAACATCAGCATGCTTGATAGTTGACTGTAAGTATTAATTAAAACTATACAAATACTTCATTATTAATTGCCGAGTTTATTATAGTGCCAGAAGAAAAAGAAAACCTACTAAACGCCCAACTCAAACGACCTCCGAGCCTATTCTCAGGAGGCTCCACTCCAATATCTACACCTAGAACTACACCAAACAGAAGCTTATCGCCTAGAAGACGCGATCCAATATCAATAGAATCTAGATGTAGACGCATTAGAGCTGCTGCTCCAAAATTTTACGCTTTTCCACACAATAGAGTAAGGAATTGTTTTTTTAGAAAAACTCAAATACTTATTGTGTTTGTTGTAGATTGCCGAAGAAGGCGAAACTGTCAGATTCCAATGCGCTGTGGCCGGACATCCGGATCCGTGGGTGAAATGGTACAAAAACGACGAAGAAATAATTCCCTCCAGTAGACTAACTATAAAAGAAAAAGACGATTTACGTACTTTGGAAATTAAAGATGTGACAACTGCTGATACTGCTATTTATAAAGTCGTATTGGAAAATGATGTTGGAAGAGTTGAGGCTTCGGCCAGGCTTGATGTTATAGCTCACAGGACTCACAGTACTTCTGGTATAAGAGCTAGAAGCTTATCGCCAAAACCGGCTTATAATGGTAATTTTTTGAGTGCTTCGGCTAGATATGGCTCAAGAGCTAGATTGTATTGTGACGTCAAAGCCACCCCTACACCCTATCTAAAGTGGTACAAAGATGACATTCCTTTGGAGAATAGTGATAAATATTTGAGCTCCTATAATGAAGAGGTAGCTTCATTGGAAATTGAAGATGTTAATTTTGAAGATCAAGGCGTTTATACTTGTGTTGCTGGAAATAAATATGGAACAGGACAAACTGCGATGTTTTTGACAATAGAACAAGCACCAAAGATAAGTGAGCATTTGCCAGAAACTGTACTGTCTAATGAAGGTAGTGCTGTAACTTTAAAACTAAAAATTGACGGTTCTAAGCACATGGATATACTATGGATGAAAGATGGTTGTCTTTTGCCAGATTGTAAGGAATTCAGGCAAGATTTTGATGAAGACAGCGGCGTTGCCTTGTTGATCATCAAAGATCCTTACTGTGAAGATTCTGGCAGATACAGTTGTGAAGCTTATAATGTTTTTGGTGAAGCTAACAGTCAGTGTAACCTAAAAGTAATTGGTGAGTATTGTTTTGAAATTAATATGAGTCACAAATGATGACATTTATATAGAATCTTATTGTTTATATTGTAGTTATGTTAATTAGATCATTTGTTTATTTAAACTTAAAATGTAACCGCATAATGGGAAATCCCTTGCAGGTGTTGTTTATCCAGAAACTACTAAACTAACACTATTTTCATATAAACGAACGCTGCAACGCCAGTAATTAGCTTTTGTTTTCGAGTACCTATTACTTGTAGTTTTTTTCAAAATCTAAGTTTCTGATTTGTAAACATATTTTGCGTTGTTAAAACCCAAAATTTGTTTTGGAAAATCGTGTTAATGTTTATACAATATATCCGCGTTTGATGTAAAACATCCGCCTTATATCGCAATTGTTTATGTAAACCGATACTGGTGTTTACTTAAAGAGTAACAGGAACTTCTCATTTAACAATTTTGTTGACCGGCTTATGAAAATTGGCTGGCGCCTTAAAGGTTGTAACAAATATTTTTTTTATTTCTAGAAGCAAATTCCTTGGAGTTTGTCAAAAGCCCGTCGTCATTGATAGCAGAAAAGGGCGGTATAGCGTCGTTTTGCGCTAAAATCATCCACCGAGAACCGATTAGGATTAATTGGGAGATAAACGGTGTTGGAATCGAGCCTTGCGGAAAATATAAGGTGAGTCGAATCAAAAATTATTGCGTGCGGTAAAATTAAAAAAAAAAAATGAGCGGTACATATAAAAAGCAAAATTTCTCTTTTCTACCAAATATGGTCGGAAATAACATTGTGTAATGAGTCCGCTTTTAAAATACTATTGTCAAATTGTTGTATAATGCTTCCCAAATGATGAGGATGATTGAACGATAAATTATATACACAGTGGAATTAACTACGATGATTTTTTTTTTTTAAATAATAGTCTGTAATCTGAGTAGGTATACCTCTATGACCAAAGTGACTCAAAAGTGGATAACTCTTAATATGGACTGTCTAGCAAATGCCCTTCAACAACCCAATTCCAGGAAAAGTGTATTTTTATTGTTGGCTGAAAAGGAAAACGGATAATTGTTAGTAGAAATTGAAATTGTTCAGCGAGTCAAAAGCCGGAACTCACTTTTTTTCTAGTAGAAGTTTCTGCTGATACTCTCCATCCAGCTCTTCCACTTTAGCTTGTAAGGCTTTTAGATGCTATAATTTGAAGCTGTGATTCAGACTGGGCTTCAATTACTTCAGCCTTTTTAAGTTCTGTTTGTTCTGCTTTTGCTACAACAGGCTTATGTAGAACTCCTTCTACTGTTAAAATAATTTTTAATTATTTTTCCAGTGAACGTTGCACTCCTTGCAATATTTCAGCGTCAACTTTTATTAATCATATTGTCTTCTTGTGACTTGACAGACTCTCTGAGCTCTAAAATTGTTACTGCAGCCTTCGAAGCTTCAGGTTGTTCTTCTATAATAGCTTTTTCAACAGACTTTATGTTGGTTTTCATGATTTCTAATGGTTTCTTGCACTGAAGTTGCACTTGGTTTTATTACGGTTAAATCCACTATACCATCTACTAATTTTATAAAAAATTATTTATCCTAATACATTCAAGTGGTTGCTTCAATAATTCTTCTACAGAACCTTGTAGATAAGCAACTGAAGCAATTGAAGTTAATAATTCTCGGAGTTGAAGTCTACAAGCTTCTACAACTTGTAAAGCAGTTTCTGGGTTAGTTTGCTATCTAGGAACGCTTTGGAAACTTTCTGAATAGATTCTCTAATGCCCTTGTCTACAATTTTATAGCTATTATCTAAAACTTTCTTCAAAGCATTTTTCGCCAGTTCACATCACTACAACCGACTTGGAAATATTCTCTAAAGGCCTAAGAAGCTTCTGCAATATTGATTTTTCTTTATCAGAAACGTAGACTGCCTTCATGGAAACAGTTATCAATTTATTTTGTAGATTGTCAATATTTTTAGAGAACTTTTCAATATCCAAATCCTCGGAAGCCTCTCTGGACTGATAAATTTGTTTCAAGGAATGGCAATTGCCTCTTAAATTTTTAACTATTCATCTACAAGTTTAGCTTCCTCCCAAGCAATCACTTAAAGCTATTTGCAAGTCTTCTTAAGGTTCTACAAAGTTACTGAACAATTTCATGTTGCCTTCAGTAATATACTTTGCAACTGCGTCCAGACTCAGCAACTCTTCAACTGCATTGTTTACCTCTTTCAAAGCATTAATGTCTTCTAGCGTTTTAGGTTTATTCGCTACATGAATCAGCTCTAAAGCTCTTTGAAGCTATTCTAAAGGTTCATTAATCGATTAAGCTAGAGGTAGAGAAGGCTTTGAGCTTGTTCGCTAATTGATATAATGTCTGATAAGTTTTCATGTAAAGCATGGAGATTTTCACTCAGATTGTCATTGGAATTATCATTAAGTTCTTCTATATTCTCAGGTAATCTCTGTAGACTATCTAACTCTTGGTTGGATACAATAAACTCTAGATTAATTGAATCTATAATACTTCTTGAGGGCTTCTGAAGTTCCCTGTTATGTCTTCAGCATCCGGTATTTTTGTACCTTTTACCTTTACCATATAACTGGTAAAGGTAGAGTTTGAAGTGTTGTCCATTTAAACCTTATTCTATGGTGTTGTCATTTTGTATAGTCAGTTTGTCATAATTGTTGAAAATCACAGAACTTGAAATTTGAAAATATAGAGTTGACTTAAGAGGTAAAGCATTATTACATACTTATTAGTGGCGACGAGGATGGGATAAACCTATTTACAAATAAAAATGGATGAAGAACAATTTAAAGGATTTTTGGAAAAATTTTCAATAATTATGCAGGCTACAACCAAAGTTCAAAATACCTCCAGGGAAAGTATTTCGATGGAACCTTTCTTGGAACATACGGAATCTTGGGATTTATACATTAAAAGATTAGAGAACTTCTTCAGTATGAAAATTTTTATAGGATCTGCTTCTGAAATAGAAAAAAAGAAAATGGAATGGTTGCTTCATACAATGGGAACCCAAACCTTACAACTTACTTACAACTTGGTAAGTTCTGATGATCCTAAGGATAAAACCTATCATGAATTAGTGGAGTTAGTGAAAAAACATTTAAATCCTTCTTCAAGTATATTTGCATCACAAAATAAATTTGCAAAACGAGTTCAACGAGAAGATGAAAGTCGTTACTGATCTTAAAAAGTTATGCAGGGACTGCGAATTCAAATGTCTCAGCTGTAATGCTTATCCTGTTGATGAGCACCTTAGACAACAATTTGTTAGGAGTTTGAAAAATCCAAATTTTATTGAAAAAATAATACAACTAAAGGCTCCAAAGAATAATTTTTCTGACTGCGTTACTATGGCCATGGCAATGGAAACTGCACATCGAGAAATCAGTACAACAGAAAGAGTTCAAGAAGTTAAAATCCTGATCCCGCTGTGGTGAAAATTCACATTTAGCAAATACAAATAGCTGTGTTAAAATTAATCTAAACTGTAACAAATGTGGTAGAAGAGGAGACATTGCTAAAGTATGTATGAATTCTTCTTCTGTTCCGAGAAATTCACCCTCAACTTATAGAAATTTAAATCAATTAGAATTTTTGGAAAAAGAAAATGAAGATGAATGAACAGGGACACCTTAATGCACTTGATACAATATATTTACCAGACAAATTTGAAAAACCAAAGAAATGTTTAGTAAAAGTAACTTAGATGGAATCCAGCTAGAAATGGAGTACGATACTTGAGTTGCAGTATCTTCGATTTCATATAAGGATTTTATTGACAAAATTCTTGGAAAAGACATAAATAAAACATATCTAATACCATTAAAAACACATACAAGTGAACTTATAGAACCTATTGGTTTTTCAAGTATACGCACCACGCACAAAACTTATGGAAAAGTGGTTCCGGTCAAATCCAATAAAATTTTAGTATGATATAGTTCATGACTTCTTGATCAAATTTCATCATTGCCACAAAAAAATCGTTCGAGCCGTTTTCGAGTTATAGCCTTTTCAAGATGGCTGAACAAGAACAAATTAAAGACTGAATAAATTTTCACATTTCATTGATATTTTATGATAATCGATAGAATATCATGAAATTATTTTAATCAACATAAACGGTGCTACAGTTTGTCTAATATTAAACAGTGTTATATTATTATATCCATTTTCGACAAACAGATAGACAAAATGCTCCATATACACGTCTTGCAAAATACAACTTTGACATAATCTAATATATTGTACTTGTTTTTTTTTGTGAAATAACTAAATAGGTACTATACTAAGATAAATGATGAGTATATTGGGTGTCGAAATTCGAATCCTTTAATCCTTATATTATACAGGGTATTTGGTACATCGATAGGAAGTTTTCAATGTGTGATAGTTGGGGTCATTTAGCAGCTGTTTGACCATATTTACCCTAACGCAAAGTTACGTCGTTTTTAAGATATCAGCATTTTTAGATATTATTGGGAAATATCCTCTGGATTAGTCACTAAAACCAGATGATGGATTGTCGACGCTAGAAATGGACGGACATTTTCAATCGATATTTAAGTTATTTTCGGAATCTATACCTATCTACCTCATGTAAAAAACTTAGGGGATTTTGATAAGATCTGTGGAGCACTCAATAAATATCGAGAGTCAGTAATCATGGAAGGAGCAACCGTTGAAGATACTCAATAAATATTGCAAAGGTCTAGTGAAGTAAGTCGCCTTCAAGACTTCGTCTAACGGGATAATCTGCATCTTAGAAATGCTAGGTGAAGGAGACTGGAAGAAAATCACGCCCCAAACTTTCCATATCTCAATTTAGATTACCTAAGAGATATTGCAATAGGAGTATATCAGCTAAAACTTGCCCCTTTATTGGCCTTCATATATACAGGACACAATACGTAGAGATCAAGAAACCGAACTGCAGATCGGTACCCTGCTAGAAAATCCAAATATTATCCGTTTGAGAGTCCACTCTCGCTAACGCAACGCTATAAAACACCAACTTTTTATTCAGTATGATAATATTTTAATTACTGAATACAAATTAAGTCAAAGAACCTTGGGAACCTGTACTCATATTGCATCTATTATGTACTATGGTATCTGGGGCATTCCAGGCCTGAAATAAATGTAAAATATCGTCCTGCAGAACTTCTTCAGAGAGTTTTTTAATGTATTTAAAAAATATTATTCTACATTCATAAAAGTTTTTCTATTTTATAGTTCAGCTTAATATATGGTAGGTACTCGAACAATAAATAATCGTAAAATGTTATGATAAATAAAATAAAATCTATAATACATGGTTTCCCAGCCGAAAGTGACCCATTTTTAATGGTTATAACTTTTAAACCAGGTGTGCTAACTACCTGCGGTTTACGCCATTCGATTTCTTTTGGTCCAAATTTTTTCTAGTAGGTTGCACATTTTTTTGAAACTTATACAGGGCAAGTAAAAAAAATCCGTTTTTCAACATTGAAATTCTCCACTATTTCTACTAGAACACCCTGTATATCACAACGTCAAAAAAAAGATTAATGTTCGAGGTATCCATGAACGAATAGACATAGTCCCTAAAACTTGAAGTTTTAGAGGTGAAAAATCAAAATCGAAATCTTGGTATTTTTGCAAACGCATATTTA